GATTGAAAAGGCTGACAATGTTAATGATGTTATGAAATAACATTATTGAAGCAACAGCAACAGGCACGTAAGTTACCAAGTGTAAATAATTTGTGGGCTGAGTCTTCAATATCATTACGCCTACGTGAAAGTCTTACACGGACACCGAATGGAACATTTCTTACACCCTTAGACCATAGGAACTTGTTCAAATGAGTGTCCACACGGACGTCAGGGGTTCCCATTTGTTTTTCGGCAAACTTCCGAATTTCCTTAATAGCTCGTGGAGCCCGTTTTTTAAATCCAACTCCACGGAGACATTTATGTAAATTCACCGTATATTCACGGGTAACAACTTCATTTATCGCGGATTTACCCTTTCTCTCGCCCTTTGGCTTAGCCATTATTTTCTCATCGAATACTTGCCGAATCAAAAATTTATTTAAAATCAATTAATCTTCAATTATTAACAACGTCATAAGAAACATCAATTAATTCTTTAAAAAAAAAAAATTTCTGCTCCTCTATGTCTCCTGCAACTTCACGCCATGATCATAACAATGGTTACTATTCAATATGTAAATTAAAACATATTTAAAATAAAACATCTATAAAAATATATCCCGATATACATACAACGGCCCACTACTTGCCTTCGCTAAAAACCGGATTCAATTGTGTTAACATCTTGCCGCAAAAGTAATCGCTGCGCAGTCAACTTACAAAGTGCATACGAGTAATACACGGCTTTTTAATCTATTCACATTTCATTGCGACAGTTGTTACAATAAAATAATATAATAGTAAGAATGTCCTATAGACTAGCAATCGGCGCGGGACAGAATTATAGTGCCCAAGTGTATGTGCAAAAACAGGTGCACTCTCTATTCTTTTAGTCCTAAAAATATAATACATACATATATATTGTCACGCCTTTACTCCCCGAGGGAGTAGGCAGAGTCCAAAGGGCAGTGAGTTACTCGGACCACGTTTAACCCAAATAATATTACTTCAGATGGAAAATTATGAAAGAAGTGATAGTTGGCTAGCCCATCGCATGCACAATCACCAAACTATCCCATCAGTAGAATCTTAATGGCTTTGTATACCATATATATAGTAGCTGGCCAGGCAGACGATGTTCTGCCCTTAGCGGCGAACCTCTGTACTATAAAAATATTTAAATTCGAAATAAAAAATACTGAGGGTCACTTATCAGCATAAAAAGTATCTCTCAAGTTGGACCAAACAGCACACATTGTGAAACATTTCATTGAAATCAGTTCAGTAGTTTAGGAGTTCATTTCGGACAAACAATGTGACACGTAATTTTTATTTATAAAGATATATAATGTTTAATATTTGAAAACAACTTATTCCTAATTTTGTTTCTGTTTAACTTTCTTCAGCTCGTGTTTGCTATATCTATCCTTTTATTCCGTCAGTGTATTTCGACTCGTTGGCTTGAAGGTAGGATAGGTATTGTAGTTGCATATTCTCGAGCAATGTGTAGTGGCTGTAACCACATATGCATCTGAAATCATTTTTGTTTGGTGCATGATTTTAGAGCATGTGTGCATCCAGCTGTAGACTTATAAAGAAAGGAAGAAGAGATCACAGAGTAAAGAGGTTGGTTTCTTTTCTCACGTGATGTGATCGCTTGGTCGAGAAGTTGAGTATTGTTTTGGCGTCACTAAAAATGTACGTAATATTCTGTCTATGTTTCTGGTATTGGTCTGAGGTTATCGCTAGGTCAGAGTTTCATAGTTCGCCGCTACAGTCCTACTCGTAAGTAGGTCGTCACAAGTCAGCGTCATTGCAAGTTTTTAAACATAATATTATGTATCCTTTTACACGTGCCAAGAATTTTTTACAGAGAACAGTATTTACTGTGTAATAGTAGGGAATTAGGTTTATAAAATTTAAAATGCCAACAGTCGCGTAAAACTGTATGAAATACGTTATACATCTTACTAGGGATTGTAATCCAGCAATGTTTTCAATCCAGCGGGACTTACCGGAATAAACTTGTGTCTGAAGTCGAGGCTTTGTTGAACTGTCTCGGTTTGGGGGCGACTAAATCTAGTCCAGTTCAATCCCCAGAAGACACAACTTTGCGCGTTTACTACTAAAAGGAACCCCTTTGTCGTATCTCCTCAGTTTCAAGGCACTCCCCTTCTTGCCTCAGCCAGTATCGGAATCCTTGGTGTCGACATATCGAGTGGTGTGCAATTTCGTGGTCACTGGGAAGAGAAGGCCAAATTAACCTTTAAAAAGTTTGGCGTGCTTAGTAGAGCGGGACAGTATTTCATGCCGGCACGTCGCTTGCAACTTTACAAGGCGCAGGCTCGGCCCTACATGGAATACTGTTCCCATCTCTGGGCAGGGGCTCACTGTGCCAGCTCCTTCCACTTGACCGCATCTAGCGCAGAGCAGCTTGAATCGTCGGCAACTGAGTTCTTTCCGGTCGGTTTGACTCACTGGCACTGCGAAGAGATGTTGCATCTCTTTGCGTATTTTATCGCATCTACCACGGGGAGTGCTCTGAGGAATTGTTTGGACTAACTCCAGCCGCTCAAATTTACATGCACATCGCGACAAAACTCGTGATACCATCCATACCATCTGGATAATTGGCGGTCCACCACTGTGCGATTTAGAAGAAGTTTTCTTCCTCGCACAACTTCCTACCACCAAAGATTTTTCCGGACCGAAACGACTTAGGGACCTACAAGAAAAGAGCCTATTATTTTTTTAAAGGCCGGCAACGCATCTGCTATTCTCCTGGTGTTGCAGTTGTTTATGGGCGGCGGTAGTTATTAACCATCAGGTGAGCCACATGCTCGTTTGCCTCCTCTGCTGTAAAAAAATTACAGATAGGTACTTCAATTTTATATTTATGTATATGTTTACTGGTTATATTATTTATTTTAAATTTCGCGTTTTAAAATAATAATGTAAACGTGCGGTCGTACACTTGTTACATTTTGTAGATTTCATCATTCGTGAGACTATTTTCTATCGTAGGTAGGTCTTATCCAAACAGCTTGCGAAATAGTTTTTCGTCGCTAAATCCCGATAAGTGACCTCAATATTTTTTTATTGCGAATTTAAGGATTTTTAATAGGACAAAGGGTCGTCGGTATGGGCAGAACAACGTCTGCCTGGCCAGCTAGTATACCATATGTAAGACTTAGAACAGAATTACTGGTAACTGGTTTGTTACTGTTGCATAAAAAAATGGGAGTGACTAGCTAGCTAGCAGGTGAATTAATAATTTAAATTACGAGTATCTTTATGAGTAATAAAAAGTGACTCACAAAGATAATTTAAACTGTCGCTTGCACATTATGTACAATCTAGGTACAAAGTATAATCACAAGGTACAATGTACTTTACGATTTAATTCTACGATTACTTTAAGACAAGTCAATATTAAATATAACTTTCAATTCATATCGTTCCATTATCATCACAATTACATAGTACCGCTCGCCTAATTAACTGTATCGACTTGTAAATTATTGAATTTCAACAGGATAAAATCATATTTATTATCTGTGTACCTACTTGCTAGACTAGGCAAATTTTACGTATTATTTTTTTTTAAGTATATTACTAAGCCACGGATTTTTTTAAATTTTTTTTTGTAATGAGATACTCATGTTTGTAATACGTTATTACGCTGGTAATTTACAAATATAAATGTAAATGCAAGGCATACATTTTAACGTTGCAAGCTATTGCGGGTTAATACAGCATGTTACTTAGTTAGTATTCTTTGAATATTTAAAGGCATATTTCCACTCTATAAAAGTAGTATTTATTTATTTAAACTTTATTGTACCTTACATATTAAGTACACGATCAAAAGGCGGATTTAATGTTAAAAGCATTCTCTGCCAGTCAACCTTAGGGCAGTGATAGAACCACGAAGGCGGTTACAAAGAAATATACATACACACATACACGTACATATATATCCATATATACATACATATAACACACATACAGTAGTCTCAGTCTAGTCATGACTCACAAGACAAGTTGCTAGATGCCTTTTAAGTTGTGATATAGCGGTTATATAGAGATAATACAATAGTTAAGCAAGCACACAGGCTTAACTATTGTATTATATATATTAAAATTGAATTGCTAGATACTTTAAGCGGTAAACCATAGCGGACTGCAGATAGATCTCTCATGAGACTATAGGACCGATTTGTAATAATCGTAACGCCTGCACGGCTAGCATGAACTGGGGACAAAAAACTTATCCCCCAATTTATATACACTGAAAAGAGATAAAAATATCTTGTCCTTATGCCAAATCACGGCAACGGGGGGAAGTATATCCCCGTTTGATATAACGAGTAAACATATATCCCTCGTCCGTAGCATGGAGCCAAATGAAAGAAAAATTTATGCTTCCTTGACATTTGAAAGGGACAGTTTTATCCTACTTCATTAGACGTGGTTTCAAGTTTATATTCATACAAAAATCTAACTAAGTCTAAGTCTATCTCCCATTTTATCTATTGTGGATATTATATCCACCTGTGTGCCCATGCTCGAAGGGTGGATAAAACTAAGCAAGGGATAAACATTTTCTCCTTTCCCTGGGGATAAAATTGTCTCCTGCCCGTGCTAGCCCTGCTGGCTTATTAGTTTACCTACTTTCTTGACCTCAAAATCATAGTAATTTTGTAGTACATTGCGTCGTGTGTTTTAGGAGCCGTGATAGCTCGCATTAGATAGCATTCGCTTATATTACTTATACCGAAAATTCTTTGCAAATTTGGCTGGTTATTGCAAAATAATATCCTGTATATAATTATCTATACCTTAAAATATCAAGATCAGAGACGGGGAGCATTATCTATAGGGTTCAAATCTGGTGCAGCGACCTCTCGAAACTCTCTGTTAAGCTGGCGACTAAGCAAATAAATGTTTTTTTTTCTGTGTTTTTCTTTCAAATATTGATTGGCTGTTGATAATAATAACGAAGTATTTCTTTGCAGTGGCCGATATGCCAGTAAGAGACGGCGTGAAGAAACCGCTTGTCGGCGTCATTGACGATGGAACGAAAACCGTCAGATTTGTGGTATGTAGTGCAAATACTTTTTGGTGTTAATTTAAATTTTATACAATATATATATGTTGTGCGTGTGTTAGGAGGCAACTATGGGAAAAGCCAGTAAGATCTTATTACTTCCGATATATGGTTATGGCTCATAGAATACCAGCGTAAAATATATAGCGTGATAAGGCATCTGTATTTTGATTCGCAAACGACGATAAACGTGACATATACGTTGTGTGTTATGTGCCACAGCAACCACTTACCATCAGATGGACTGTGTGCCCGTTTGTCACCCTATCTTATAAAAAAAATATCATAGGGTATAATCTGTTTTATTTTTACGCTACCCTCACAATAGGAATTTCTCTTGTATCGTTGAGGCGTTTTATATTCTTAAAACTGCACACAGACAAACAATTATTAATATGCCATACAAACACTTGTTCTGTGGTTTCATCATTCATCACGTTGATGTTTATCAATATACACATGTATACTTAGAGTATACATAATTTGCTTATGTAAACTCTATGATATCATCCGAAAGACCGTAGAGTAATTCTTACGATATCTACAGTTCTAGAGCTTTCACTGAGTTAGCGCAGTCTAAGTCGTTAAAATAATTATTACCTACATCAGAGAGCAGAGACTAAATACAGCTCTGACTTGATTAAATATCTATCTTTATAATTTGAAATTATCTTTATTATAAGGCGTGGTTGTGCTCGTGGCTCGGGCTTGACGGCTTTGTTCGGATATCTCCCATTCCATCGACGTGAAGCGATGGTCGAACGCATATTTTTTTCGGTTCTGTTGAGATGGGTTATAACCCAAAAGTACTTTAAGATAGAAATTTGACGCCAGACGAGACAAACAATCTTAAATTGATAAAACACTACTGCAACCCATGGACGCAACCAACTTCACAAAGCACAAATCAAATCACAAAATTGCCAAACCCAAGAATTGAGATGAAATGTTTCAAAGCCTATAATTAACACAGCAGTATGTGCATGCGTGTGTTGTTTCTTAGCGTCAATTATAGTATTTATATTATAAGCAATGCAAGCGGACCGGGTTCAATCCTCGCTGGTCATCGATAAAATATAAAACTGTTGATTGAAATTATAAAATGCTCGCCAGAGAAGAAAAACGTTGTGAGACAGAGAAAAAAGCGCGGTAGAGGCATTTGACTTCATGTACTTGGCCTTGATATCTATTTGTGTACGTTGTTACCGCAGTTTACGTTTGTGCATAATCTTCTAAGATGATGTAACAATGCATTTTGTTATGCAATAAAAAAAAATCTTAAGTTCAATTTTAAACAGTTTAATAACGTTTAATTTGCTTGTGCTAATATAGATTGTTCTTTAATTAAAATTAAGTGTATACTTTTTGGCACACCATAAATTACGGTGTTTGTTTGTAAGTAATTTTATTTTGATATTATCGAACAATGGTAATTATATTAATTATTGTTTAAGAAAATTAGGCAATTTCAATTTTAGGTGAGTGGCAGTAAATTTTACAAAGAGCAATCCAGCCGGGTTCGATCCTCACGGAAAAAAATGAAAATGTTAAATGCAATTTTAAGTGCCGATTTACCACGTGCTCCGCGGTGATGAATACTTCGTAGGAAACCTTCACGTCTGCGGAATAAAATATTTGGTGGACATGTGAATGTGAAGTTCGTCAACACGTATTGGAGCGTGGCAGTGGACTAATTCCTCGATTACCTTACGTGGTAGAGCAACGCCGCAGCTATGTTGTGGTTGTTGCATGAAATGGTCGACCGGGTAGGATCACGCTCTCACAGTACCAGCGTAAAGTAGCAGTTTAATGCTGCTGTGTTTCGTATAGTGAGTGTAGAGAATCGGAGACCCTTTTTACTGGAAAAGAGGCATTCCATCTTATTCTTCAGAGGTGACAAACATATCTGCATTTTGATTCTTAATTAAGAATAAATGTAGAGGTCTATGATTATGAGTCCACTTAACATGAGGTGGACTGTGTGCTTGTTTGTCACCCTTATTCTATAAAAAAAACTTTCCTAGCAACCTGTGCTCAACAGTTTGACGTATGACGCTGTTAAAGATTATTAATTCTTACTAAATTAGGTAACCCTAGATTTTTAAATGGAGGTGATCAAATTTATACTTATAATACATACTATTGTAACAGCTCATACTTTTATTATAATTTTTTATAGTTATACCAATTATAATTGGAGGAGTTGGAAATTAATTAGTTCCAGTACTATAATATATTTTAGGGTAATAATATTCTAAAAATGATAAATAATAGGCTGGTTATCTATGTGCAATTTATGCATATGAAACGCCTCTACACCGTTTTTTTTTTCAAATAAAATAAAGATAATTCACAAGAAGAAATTTTTTATAAGAAATCCGATGAAATTCCATTGAAATAAAGTAATTACGATGAACAAATTTGTTCGTTCTGGTACTCATTCGCCCGTAGAAACTGGTTTTGTATGTTTGCCAAGTTTGAATCGGTGCAATGAGTTTTTGCGCCTTTGATAAAAGCAATTAAAATTTGCTTAAGAAATTTATGTAAAGAGAATGTTAATATAGCTAAATATTTGAATTTTGTATTTTTTTATTTTTTAACGTAGGTAGCAGTTAGAATACTTTTACTTTACTTTTTTTTAAAAAAACGTTACCCCCACACTAGGATTTTTTCCTGTATCGTGGAGCCAGTTTACAAACACAAATTGCACGAGGACAAACATCCAGAACCGGAACAATTATTTGTGGGCCATACAAATACATGTTCCGTGCGAGATTCGTACCCGCGGCCCCCAGCACAACAACTCATTGCTAAGTCACTGAGTCACGGAGCCGTCTATAATACGAAAATAATAATTAAATTATTTTTGAAATAGAATCTATAGGTCACGGCGGCCTGTCTCAACGCGAGACAAGATTATAGTGCCCAAGTGTACGCGCAAGCACAGATGCACTATCTATTCCCACACTCTCATAGTCCAATAGAACGGTAAACCGACACGACCGGAGAGAGATCAGGTGCAGACCAACGGATTTATGTGATTTTCTAGGCTAATCCGAGCAGCTACAGAGAATTTCTTGATGGAAAAGCTCAATAACTGATTTTTTTGGCACGATCCTGGATTCGAACCCGAGATCGAAATCCTCCTCTTTATGGATGTTTAGCATTAAACGTCCAACAATATTTTTTGGTTTGCAGATATATGAAGCTGAGCGTTCAGAAGAATTAGCAGCATATCAATTAGATAAAACAGAAGTACAGCCACAGGAAGGATGGTACGAACAAGATCCGATGGAAATTCTGAACCACATAAGAACATGCTCCGAGAACGCTATAGGACAACTGACTGAATTAGGTGAGTGAAATAAATCTCTATACTAGTACCTTATGGTAGGGCCGCTCTATGTCTTCTAAAGATATTGATAGTAGTGTCTAGTGTCTTCTAAAGATTTTATAATTATATTATTATTATAATTTAATCTATATAAAATCTTTAGAAGACTCTAAAGATTTTATATAGATTAAATTATAAAAAATGTCCTCCAAACCGAATTTCGGTCAGGGCGACCAGTTTTTAACGCATATTAGACAAGATTGTAGCGCATGAGTGTGTGCGCAAACAGAAGTCTATGCCCCTCACACTCATAAGCCGATGGGACGTCAATGCTACATGACCGAAGAGAGATCAGGCGCATGACGGCCTTACGTGATATCTGAGGTACAGGGATGTAACGCCACCAACTTCCTGACTGGGCTGCTACTGAGTTATTTATATTACTACTACTGAATTAGCATCGTGAACATCCAAACCCAGCAATTGTTTCTTTTTACTGGTGCCAGCGACTTTTCCGTACTGATACGATTTAGGGACCTATAAGAAATGAACCTACTCCTTTCTAAAAGTCCAGCACCGCATTAACAATGCCTTAGGTGTTGTAGATATTACGTTATCATGTGCCGTATGCTCGCTCGTCTCCTCTTCTATAAAAAAATTATGTTTTTCTCTTATATTGTAGTCGATGACTCTGGACATTAGTCTGTCTGAAATCTGGACTATAGTTAGAGTACTTATAATACGTACGTACGTATACTTTAAACGTTACTTTTCTGGTCTTTTTTATAGTGTATGGTTACAAACGAGCACACAGTCCACCTGATGGTAAGGGTTTGCTGTGGCCCATAGACATCTACATTTATCCTCGTTTGGGAATCAAAATGCAGATGCGTCGCCAACCGTGAGGACTAAGATGGAATGCCTCGTTTCCAGTAAAAGGGGTCTCCGGTTCTCTACACTCACCATACGAAACCCAACAGTGTTAAGCTGCTATTTGACACTGGTATTCTGTGAGAGCATGGTCCTTTCCCGGTCGAGCCGACCCATTCGTGCTACAACTATACTACTAATATAGCTGCAGAGCATGGCTCTACCACGTATAAATATATCCGTATAGGTGTTGCAGATGTTACGGTATCATGTGCCGTATGCTCGCTTGCCTCCTCTTCTATAAAAAAAAATGAGTTTTTTTTTAAAGAACATTACTTTCGTGTTTTTCGTATTACGTCATAAATTTAATAGGGCATTATATTAAACCTAAATTGAGTAATTAATAAGACTTTTACGTTAATATTATAGTAAATTAAGAAGTTATAATATTCACATTGTTTCCAATCTTATCATAACTACTGTATGATAACGGGTGATATAACTCACAATCACCTGTGGGGGAGTAAGGTTCTGTGTGTGTGGCCAGTGGCAAGTGGCAAGTGGCAACCTCTTACCGGTAAGTTATGGGTAGGGTAGCTCGCCACTTAATGAAACAACGACCTGGATCTGGTGAAGAACCATAGACCATGCAAGAAGTGGATAGGTGCAAGTTATTCGGCACTGTGTTTTGTGGCATTCTTTGTGGGAGGCCTATGTTCAGCAAGGGGCTTGTGGGAATCGATGTACCCCGCCTTTTGTGTAGAGTTCACTGAGCCGCCAATAGGGAAACCTTTTCGCTGTAGGCGGTCTGTTCGTGTGGAGTTTTTATTTTCTTTCTACGCTAGAAGGTTATAGGGTAACTCTGCCACTAAAAAGAATAACGATGTTAAAATCATGTAGGAAGTCTCAGGACCATTCATTGTAGCGGCCTTTGATATCCTAACCGTAGACAGATAGATACATAAAAATAGTCGTTTGTTTATATCTTACAGAGCTCACACAACTAATAAAAATTATTTTAAAAAACAACAACATAAATAAACATTTTATGCCGGGTACAAATTACAAGGTACGATATATTTCGAAATCGTCGAAAGTAAATTTGATCGTTTTATCAAATATTTAGTTTTGATTAGATAATACTAAAGCGGCATTGTGATAATGAATTACACGCGTCAGCTAAATACGTAAGATATATGTTTTATACGTGGTAGAGCCATGCTGCAGCTATATTAATAGTATAGTTGTAGCACAAATGGGTTCGGCTCGACCAGGGAAGGACCACGCTCTCACAGAATACCAACGTAAAATAGCAGCTTCACACTGCTGTGTTTCGTATGGTGAGTGTAGAGAACCGAACACCCTTTTTACTGGCAAGGAGGTATTCCATCTTAGTCCTCACGGGTGACAACGCATTTGCATTTTGATTCGCAAACGAGGATAGACGTACATAGATGTCTATGGGCCACAGCAACCACTTCCCATCAGGTGGACTGTGTGCTTGTTTGTTACCCTATCCTATATATATATATATATATATATATATATAGGATAGGGTAACAAATATATATATTATGATAGAGGGTTAAGAATTCGGTATGTAAACATTTTAGTGTCGTTTTTATATTTTTGTTTCGAGCATAAAGTATAAACTATAATATATATATATATGTACTTTAAGCACTAATTTAAATTATTTTTATTTTGTAAAGTATAGTTAATTTTTAATAACATTTTAAACTTTTGCCTATGATGACGTCATAGAGTAGGCGACTGAAAAGTACGCAAGCTTTTTCAACTACAGATTTTTTTATAGAATAAGGTGACTAACGAGCACACAGTTTACGTGATGGTATGATACTGTGGCTCATAGACATATGGATTTATCCTCAAATAAGAATCAAAATGTAAATGCTTTATCCACAAATATCAAGGTAGAATTTTCCGCTACCAGTAGGTATTAAAGGTCTTCGGATTTTGGAATGTAAGAAATTCATTAATTTAAAGCACTTCTTATGTTTCTATCTTCTTTATGAAATGTTTAATACTGAGCCCACCATGGCCAGGGTATTTACCTCTAGACATAAATTTAACTACTTGAACTGTTTCTTTATCCCTAAAAGTTTTATTTTTTCCGTTGGGCGCTATATTCAGCACCGAGTGTGAAGGCCCAAGAGGAGATTTAACTGCAAAATTGTACAAATAAGTTGGCAATTTTCTTAGACTCACTTACACCGCCAACGCTCACGGGCCGGCTCGGTTTACATTGTAACTTATTGGTATGTTTTCTAAACGAGCCGAAATCATTTTTCAAATGATGTGAGGCTTGAACATTCATCTTCACTGGATTTTCGTGATCTTGACACCACTTTAAGAAAACATTACTGACCACACAATATAAACCAACAATAACATCTTACAAGAAAAGCACACGCATTGGTCTAGGAAACGTCGGAAATATTAATTAATTTTTTTTGATAATTGTTTTTTTTTAATTAATTCAAATGCAATTTTAATAGCTACAATTCAAAGTTTTATTGAATAATATTTAATTATATACAATATTAAAAACTATAATAATAAAAAAAAAACTAAAACTAGAAACTTAATTATCATACAGTCCTACTCCCCGCGGTATCGTGCCAAGATCGCTGGCTGCGTTTCCCCGCTGAATGGCTATACTTATTTATAATTGAGTTCAATTCAAGTACCGTATAGTGGCGGTGTAAGAATATTCACTATTCCTATCGAACACTAATAAAGATACACAATCCCATACAAAAGCTTAGCGTTGATTTGCGACGTTGAGGGCCGCGGGTTCGAATCACGCACGAAACAAGTATTTGTATCGCCTACAAATAACTGTTCCGAGGGCTGAATATTGGTCCTTGTAAAATTTATGTATGTAAACTGCCCTCACGATATAGGAGAAAATCCTAGTGTGGGGAGGTAACGTTTAAAAAAATATCAATTTGAGGGGTCATGATAAGCCAGCCAACCTGCACAAGTCACGCCACAGACTCTTCTCAGTCCAGCAAATGCCAAAATAAGAAAGTAATAGCATAAGGGCTGAGCGCTCGTCTTTAATTTCATTGTACGCGACCTGAACGGTTCCAGATTTTTTCAACATATTAATAAGCCAGTTCTCAAGTACTAGTCAACTATAATTCCACCTGCTGGTAAGTGGTGATAAAGCCCTAGATGGTAAATCGCACTGTCTTAGCGAAACGAGCATTCGTTACCTTTAGTGTTTGTTAGGGCTACTCACTCTCTTTGGCTTAGTCTCTGCCGGCGTCAATTAAGTAGTTGATTTGTAATTTAAAGTACTATATTATTTAAATATACTATTGTAAGTACTATTGTAATTGCCTGTTGCCAAATAACAGAATAATACAGAGCCATATTTGAATTTAAAAAATAAAAGTATATTTACAGACTGTAAAGTATTCCTATTTTGGGCATTAGTTCCCAGAGGTGACAACACATCTGCAATCTTCCTTGTTTGAAGTGAGTTGCAGTCGTCCACGAACTCCAGTAGCCACTTACCATCAGATGAACTGTAAATTTATTGTTCACTTCAGTTTAAAAAATGAAGCCCCTTAGTCAGAGGCCAAGAGATTTATACATTTACTTATTATATTTTATATAGAAGTTTTATATCTGCCTGTTTATAATCTCATATCTTTGAACTAATAACATTTTCCATTTCAGGTTACTCCAAAGAAGACATCGTAACATTAGGCATAACGAATCAGAGAGAGACAACTATAGCATGGGACAAATTCACCGGTGAACCCTTACACCCAGCAATAGGTACGTACACCTTCGTGATTGTGAACAGATTTTAATATTTTTTGACGTGTCAACGTCTTATAATTCGATGAAGCTGGCTGCACGCACGAAAAAAAATCGACGTTACCTCGCTCTGAGGCGTTCCATTTAAGGCTTGAAGTGCAAGCGAGAGCGCGGAACGAGCGACAAAGGGGCACAATCGGCGTTGTCACGTTCAACTATCGTCAGTAAACCGACTTTACAGACAACCGATTTTTTTGAGTAGGTTATAAGGCTATAGAGCTTTAGGGGTGGTCTCATATAAATTTGGAAGTTCCTCCATTAAGGGAAAAGGGGGAATAAGGGATGTAATTTTTATACGACATACTAGTTGTTACCTTGAGTTTGTGATGTTCTAGCGTACTCATATGAGTCAAAATATTAAAGCTTTCAATGAAAAGATAGAGTCGACTTCACAGTTCTAAAAATAATAAATAAATCACACAAAATTGCTTATGCACTCAAGGCTTTAATTTATGCTATAGACTGTGTCCTAGCACCGACTTCAGAAGCTGTTATTCAGAGTTATTTTTCAAAGAGCAGCTAAATTTTATACTTAAGTATAAATATATAAATAATGATATACCGTTATTGCAGTTTTTGAAAATACGAGTAAACAAGGCTTCTACTTTTATTTGAAATTATCCCAAATTAAATGTGATCTGTGGGTAACAACGTATTTACCTACCGATCGACCCTTACGAATGTGTGCGTTTACTGCGGAAATTCAATATCAATAATGCATTAACACGCATTTTGAATTTAAAAGATAAACTGGACAGAATGTTTAAGATTTAATTTTTAATAATTTTTTTTCACCATTTGCCTATATTACTTATTCTGAATATTCTTTGCATTTTTGACCGGTTATAACAAAATGACCCTGTATAGAAATTAATTCAATAATTTAATTTTTTTTTAAAGTCTACTTTTATTAATTAAACAAAAACTTAATTTTCATAATACATTTTTAGGGCTTAAATATTTTTGCCTTTATTTTTAATTGCTTACAATAACTAAATTTTTATAACAGTTTTGCGTAACACAAAGGGAACGTAAGTAATATAATTACTGCTTTTAATTTTCAGCATGGAACGACATACGTACAGACAGCACAGTGGACGCGATATTAGCCAAAGTGCCCGACCGTAACAAGAACTACTTGAAGAGCATAAGCGGCCTGCCCATAAGTCCGTATTTTAGTGCTCTTAAAATGAGATGGCTCAAAGACAACATCAAGGCAGTGAGGAGGGCGAGCAGGGATAAACGGTTGCTGTTCGGGACAGTCGATTCTTGGATTGTTTGGGTAAGTTAAGAAATTACCAGCCTATATAATATTATGTCAGATATATGGCGTGTAGAGGTGACGTAAAAGAATCCACAACTCCATATCGACAGAGGGAAACGAAATTGCATATGAGTAGCAGCGTCTTCTTTGTACCAGTAGAATATAATCATTTTTATTTAATATAGATTACAGTACATAATACTTATTGAAAGTAATTTTATTACTTTTACCACTGGTTCGCAAAAAAACCTCTGTCCTGGGAAAAAATTGCAAGAAATACACTGGGTCGTTTTTTTTAAAAAAAAAAGAAGCACAATTTACAATATAATATTTTATACAATTGTTACGAAAACATTTAGAAACAGCATGATAGCGATCCCAGGGGTTATTATCAATCATGTACTCTTTAGTAGTATAATAACCCTTACTAGACAATTTTTGCTTAATAAATAATTTAAACCTTTTGATAGATAAGGTCTGCATATTTTAATTCAATATAATAAACAAATTGCAGTTACCAACCTGTCTGCCAATCATGACAGCTGTGGCAAATATCCTCCCTATGAGTCAAGCCATAGTGGGGACCTAAATTCAGCGGTGGACTATTCATAGGCTGTAATGGTACTGCCATAATAAAATCATAATATCTGAAGATTCTGGACCCAATAGGTGGTGCTCTGGCCGAGCTATTAATAAATTTTATATTTACACTGTAATAAGTCCGGAAAACTCGTCACACCACCTACCGTAAAGGGCAGAACATCCTCTGTCTGTGTGGCCAGCTAGTATTATGTAATTGTAGCTTAAAAATAATTTAAAATTAAAAATTTTGTACAGTCTACTTCAATTTAATTATTAAGAATAACTCAAAAACTATTGGCCGGACCTTGATCAAATTCTTATGGGACCACACGAAAAGTACCAGCTTTCAAATAAAAAAAAGAATCATCGAAATCGGTTCACCCACTAAAAAGTTATGAGGTAACACACATAAAAAAACATACAGTCGAATTGAGTACCGTCTCCTTTTTGGAAGTCGGCAGATAATAATGAGAAAACAAAACACAGTTGCGGAGGGGCGGAAAGATTTCCGCCGTCATGATTCTCACTAGAATAACACAATCGCACCTCAGTTCCGATGGTGGCTTCGGTTCTGCTTGGTTGACCTTTGTTTGTTGCCAAACCGCTTGCCACGCTTGGCAACCGTGGTTTGTTATTTGTATTCTGCTGTTATCAGGAAGATGCTCCTGTCCCATCTCCTGGTTCAGAATTTGTTGATAACTTGACTACAGCGCCACCTATCGCATCCTAGCATAGCTGTGAACCATCATCACGTCAGTTAAAATATTATGTGTAAATATAAATATGGACATGGGACAAAAAGGAACAAAAACTAGACTGAAGTTTTTCGACCAGATTTATCGTTAATTAAGTTAATTACATCAAATTTAGTATGTATTCCAAGATATATAGATGTGAAACAAGCCAGAGAGATGTATCAGGATCATACCAAACGGAAGTCCGTGGTCTCTGCCTACCCATCTGTTTAAGAGGCATCAGCGTTAATGATATTATGTGTGAATATGAACTCAATCGGTGAAGCCATTCAGAGCTTATATTATCACAGACACAACGAAGATTATATTTACATATTTATTAATCTTTATATATAAAAATTACGTGTCATATTGTTTGTCCGCGGTGAATTCCTAAACTAATGAACTGATTTCAATGAAATTTTGCACACTGTGTGCAGTTTGGTCCAACTTGAAAGATAGGATACTTTTTATCCCGATAAGTGGCCTTCAATATTTTTTTTATTGCGAATTTAAGGATTTTTTCATAGGAAGGGTCGTCGGAAAGGGCAGAACAACGTCTGCCTGGCCAGCTAGTATTAATATAAAAAATACATGAGCTTACATCGATGCCGATACATTTACAAAATCCCATTGCTGGTACTTCATAATTCGTTACTAAGAAATAACAATCATGATAATTTATATCGTTTCAGAATTTAACCGGAGGTCCCCAAGGCGGTCTCCACATAACTGACGTCACAAATGCATCTAGAACTCTTCTCATGGACCTGGAGACTTTGAATTGGGACCCTATGTTGTGTAGGTAAGGTTCAAAATCTGTTACTCCTTTGTACTTTCGGCAATTTGTCAAATATAGTGCACATTATCTATATAAATTATATTATCAGATATTAACAAAATATTATACATATTTTCAAGCACAGAAATACCCAGCGTCAATAGTGAAATAGTAGATTTATACATTTTAAAATAACATGTGCCCAATGGTAAACCTAAATAAAATTTAATATATTTTTGTTGCTGTAGTTGTAGCTTGCATTGGACAGCTATTTTGCTTGTATTCTATAAGAGCGTGTTACCCCGGTCGATCCAACCCATTCATGCTACAACTATAATATAGTGGCAGCATGGCTAGAGAGTCATGGTAGAGACCACATATAATTTAAAACCTTAATTTTTAGAGCCTACCAAAGAATATCAAAAGATCACAGCTTTGTGATCAAAAAAATGTTGTCTAAATAGTTACCTATATCAAAAACGTTATACTCAATTTTTTTTTAAATTAAAAATTATTAAAAAAAGTTGTATCTTTAAAGTTGGCTTTTTTATTTTTATTAAAAGTAAATTTTTGACTCTTGTCTAACAAATAGCACAAGTTTATGGTAACAACAACATTCTATAGCCTAAATAGTTACATTAAAAACTTCATTACCTATTTTTCTATTCTCAAGGGTGCAATAATTCTCTGAATTTATAACCCTGAAATACTATTTAATATCCAACTGATTCTTTGTTTCAGATTGTTTGGAATACACAGGGATTCACTACCGCAGATACGGAGCAGTTCGGAGTTGTATGGTGTCGTCAAGGACGGATCAATTTTAGACGGCATTAGATTATCTGGGGTAAGGAATATAATCTGAGCGTTCATAGCTATAGAACCGAATTGTGTTTTTTATTTTTTTCACCGTCGTGAATAATCGTTTTTGCAAAAGAGTTCATTATTTTCATTGGTTAATACCAAATTGTTAATTACAAATTGAGTGCTGATTCACCACGCGCTCGGTGGTGAGGAAATCTGTTTCTCTTCGCCGACACGCACTCGAGCAACACGGTGGACTAACCCTCTCAAAAATGAGAGGAGGTCTGTATTAGATTTATATAGGCTGTATCAAAAGATATCTAGACAAACGGCAGTGTGTCAGCTAAGTTTGTAAAGGAAAAGGGTGACGTATGTATATATTTACACGAACCATTTTGAGTCACTTTCGAATCCCCCGTAACTCAAAATATATTAGACCTATACAGACTTGTATTTTTACATAACAAATAAGGTACTTAGCTAGAATCTTAAATTTCATGAATTAATAAATATTGTGTAGTTCTTGAATTATTAAGGTCTGAAAAGAGTAATTTTTATCACTCTTTCGCTCACTGACTCGCTCATCAAAAACCTAAGTCACTTCTACAATACTTATAAACTTGAAATTTAGTATCAAGGTAAATCATTAGGAGTTAAATCAGAAAACCAGAAATTATCGATATTAGGTGTCGAAAAATAACGACGAAGTTAACGCTGAAGGACAAGTATTTATATAGATTAATAAAAGGATGTAACTTTTTTCAAAAATTAATGATACCCCACCAAAAACATAAGTGGTAAACAAGCTCCACAGCAGTTCCAAGAACGTTGTAAATCCCTATAGGTCTTATGATTTAAGCAACTGCTATGGAATTTGGTCCCCGTTCAGTTCCTAACTCTTTTATCGGCTAAGCTGACAATCTCGAACGTCATTCGTACCGAACTTGGCCCCTTTTCACATCTGTTTTTGGTGGTATACCCACATCACCCACATTGTATCCATGCTCATTAACTCGTCTGTTATTAGTGATATATAGATTAGCTGTAATTTCGAAGTCATTTATTGCGGACCCTCTAAAAGGTTAGAGTAAAAAAATTGGGTATCCTATTTGTTGATAATTTCAACTATATAGAGTCGATTTAAATGAAAACATAATAAGAATTATTAGGTGTATTATGATGCCGTGTAGTTACAGCATATGAGAATTAATCATCCCATATAATCCCTTAGGTGTTGGTAAGAGGCGACATAGGGAAATTAAAACGGGAGATGTCCACTTTTAATTTCCCTCTGTGTAAAGGATCTTCCTGGTAACTACTAAAAATGATAAAAATCTGTAGTTACTAAACCGCATGCTACTATGGCAAATATACTCAATATGAGGCAATCTATGGGGGAGGCCTATGTTCAGAAGTGAACTTTTTATAGGTTGCAATGAAAGAATGAAGATAAATTAAATATTTACAGATATTGGGCAATCAACAAGCGGCATTAGTGGGACAAAATTGCTTACTAGCTGGCCAAGCGAAGAACACCTACAGAAGCGGTTGCTTCCTCTTATACAATACCGGGCAGAGGCGAGTGCAGTCCACGCATGGCCTTATTACTACAGTGGCATACAAGCTTGGCCCTGATGCACCTGCGGTATACGCTTTGGAAGGTAAAATTTATATTGTAATATTTCTTTTCCCATCTCAGTCCGCAAGGGTTACTTGCATCTGCTAATTCTTAATTGAGGATAAAAATGTAGATGTCTATGAGCCATAGCATACACTTACCATCAGGTGGACTGTGTGCTCGTTTGCCACCCTTATTTTATATTAAAAAAATGAATTATGATATTTATTTATTACTTATGTCTCTTATCTGCTTAAGAGTTCTTCGGGTGAGGTACGCTCTATTGTGTTCTAGTTTGATGGTTAAGAAAGCCAGCAATCATCATAGGCTGTTAGGCATTGCAAAAAATGAAGACTACAGACGTGTTACAGAGGTTTGCTGAATGGAATAGTACAGAAAAATATCTGTCCTGGGGTGAACCAACAAGACAACTCGGCAAGACTATTTTTTTAACATAAGGCATCTACACACCAAACCCGCCGGCCCGCCGGCTTTGCCCTGCGGGACATGCCGGCACTTCATGTTCGCTCGCTCAGTTGGCCGCCGGCTTTCATAACGTTGTGACGTGCAGTGAAGTGTATTTTTTTGTTTACGTATCGAATGTAGATATGGAGTGGGATGATGAAAAAGTTGAAAATTTAATAAACCTATATTGTTCTAGAGAAATATTATGGAACCCAAAGCACATCGACCACAAAAAGCGACCAAAGCGTTACGACGCTCTCAACGAAATAGCTAGCGAATTGTCTACCAATATCTCGGAAATAGAAAGAAAAATTTAACTTAACTTAACAAGCCACTATTTCCGGGAGTAAAAACGAGGAGATACTTCAAAAAAGTCAGGTGCGGGCACCGAAGATATTTACCATAGCAAATGGTTTGCTTACTAATTATTAAACTTTCTATGCAATAAAAAAGCCACTCCGTAAGCTCGGCAATTACTAACTGCTGAACAGTACAGGCCGTAGATGCCGAGGCCCTCGTGCCGCCGGCAAAGGTCGTTCCGGCTTACAATGCTCTAATGCTGCCGGCCTAACCCGCCGGCGCCAACCGGCCGGATAAAGCCGGCGTGCCGGCGGGTTTGGTGTGCAGAGGCCTTAATAGTTTTTCAGCTGGAGAAAATTTCTCGGCAGGACTCCATTTTTGCGTTGGAATCTAGATAGGTACTATTCTTTCTCCTATTTCTGCAGGCCCTGCTGTGTCTGAAGGGTATTAAGAGTTTGTATAGTTACCGATTATTAATTGACTGCCTCGTTGGTTTTATCCCGGGTTCGAATTCCGGGTCGGGCCAAAAAATCAGTTACTGAGTTTTTCCATTAAGAAATTCTCAGTAGCTGTTTGAAGTGAAGAAGTTGACGGTGCCTCACCCCCGTGCCTCGGAAAACGTGTAAAGCCGTTGGTCCTGCGCCTGATCTCTCTTCGGTCGTGTCGTTTTACCGTCCCATAGGATTACTAGAGTTAGGCAATGGAGAGTGCAGCTGTGCTTGCGCATACACTTGGGCACTATAATCCTGTCGTGCGCCGATGGCTAGTCTCTGTTGAGGCTGGCCGCCGTGACCGAAATTCGGTCTAGAGGACATTATTATTATTATTAACTACCGACTGAACCATCATCCATCATAATCCTCAGAGGTGACAACACATATGAAGCTTTCTTATTTGGAAATTGGTTGCACATGTTTGTTGTAGATGAACTGCAGTAGCCACTAAGATATATTTTTTTTAAAATAAAAACCTACTTGTGTACTGTCTTTAAATCTTTATATTTTTAAATTATATGTAAATGCCAGGTTCAATAGCAGTGGCGGGTGGGGCCATGAAGTTTCTGCGCGACAACTTAAAACTGATAAACGATGTGGTGAATGAAACGGAGCATATTGCTGGGCAGGTGTTCTCCACGGGAGACGTATACTTTGTTCCGGCGTTCAGCGGCTTGTACGCGCCATATTGGAGGAAGGACGCTAGAGGGTAAGTTCAAAATTACAAAGTATATATTATTATTTTATTAATAGGGTCGTCTCTTCAGCACTGTGACGTCTATGGGCCGTTACATTATTTATTTTATTAAGACTGTATAAAGTTAATTCAACGTGTGACTTATGTCCCACTGCTGGTTACAGTTTTTTTTTTTTATATATAAAAGAGGGCAAACGAGTATGCGGCTCACCTAATGGTAAGTGACTACCGCCGCCCATGAACAACTGCAACACCAAGGAAATTGCCATTTAAAAAGAGTACACTCTTTATTGAAAAAAAAAACAATACTCTGCTGTCATAATCGACACGTTTGACAATAGTATCCAACGTTTCGCGCCTCTGACGTTCAATTTGTCTTATTTTTAATATTCAAATGCTTTTTTTCTCTAGAATAAGAGTGACAAACGAGCACATTGTCCACCTGATGATAAGTGAATGCTGTGGTACATAGACTAAATCTGTCTTTGATTAAGAATCAAAATGCAGATGCGTTGTAACCCCTGAGGAGTAAGATGGAATGCCCCATTTGCAGTGAAAAGGGTTTCTGGTTCTCTACACTCACCATACGATACAGCAACACGAAGCTGCTATTTAACGCTGGTATTCTGTGCGAACGTAGCCCTACTCCAGTCAAGCCGAACCATTTGTGCTACAACCATAATGTAACTGCAGCATGACTCTACCACGTATAAAAGCTGAAGGTACTCTGGATAACTATGACATCACGATGTCCAAATAGTCTCTCAGTTCCCCCATGACCATGGGTGCCGTGTAGCATCTGAACTGTCAGGAATTAAAAATAAGTCAAATTAAATTCGACAAAATCAGTAAAGTTCGTTTTATTTAATTTTACGTCCGGGTTAAACGAGATTATTGTATTGCCATTTTTCGGATGCGATTAAAAACTTTTGTGATATTTCTATATTCGCATATTTTTAAATGATGATTTTGTTTCAGAATTATCTGCGGATTGACTGCGTTCACCACAAAGAATCATATTATAAGAGCTGCTTTGGAAGCAGTTTGTTTCCAGACGAGGTTAGTTATAATTAGGATGATATGATTTACCATTTATTAGTATATTTTATTTATTCATTATATATATTGGTATATAATAGAGTGTAAGGTTTGGATAAATTTAGTTTCCGTTTGATTTTATTAATAAATTAAAATCAAAATATCTACAAATTTAACACTAGCGAGAATAGATAAAGCATGGTGAAATTCAGGGGTACATTCACATTTTTATTTGGGAGATATTTTAAACAAAAATGAACGTTCTAAAATTAACTAATTTAAAACTACCCTTACTTATTTCTTCATCTATATTCTATACAGGGCTATTTTCAAAGAGTAGCCAAATTTTATATTTAAGTTCAAATAAATTATTATATACCGGTATTACATTTTTTTTGAAAATACGAGTAAATAAGGCGAAATTACAGTCAAATTTACGTATTTTTAATTATATTTGGGATAAAAATTACCTATATTAAAATTGATAGAAATCAATTCAGTAAACGATTCTGAACAAATCACTTTCAGGATGTGCGTTAATTATGTTACATGTTGTATATGTTTTTTAAATAAAGCTTCTATTTTTATTTGAAGTTATCACAAATTGGATGTGATTTATGGATAACAACTACTCTTACGTGCGCTCATGTGTGTGTGATTCAATTCACGTTGTCGTTTCTCAAGTTTTTGCCTACTGGTTACTTTCTTAGTGACACGCTTACTACTAATGGTAAAGTTAATAACAACATGAAGCAAATTATAATTCCAATTTTCCTGTTACACTTTTAACGGGCTTAGGATCGTCATAACAAATAAAATTAAAAAATATATTTTTCCTTATCAACGACGTAACCGACGACTGTCCCTATTATGGCTTATTTAAAAAATTGGAATAAACTATTTACAATTTAATTACGCAAGTAGTTCCAATGTTTAATATTGGTACCTTAAAATAGAATCATCATATTAAATAACCGTACTGTAGGGCCGTGCCGCCACATTATTTATGTATAGACTAGCACGTTTTCTTAAAATATTTTTTACACTTATTACCTGTTCTTGAGCACTTTTAACTTCCATGAACGTAGCAATAATTTAACTGTGGCGGTCTTCATAACTTTGGGCCTCTTTGATGTAAACACGACGTATCTTTATATACAGATAAAAGACTAGACGGTGAAAATTCCAGCGAGCTTGTAGACCATAGTATTGGGTTCTTCATATTCACTATTATAAGTTATCATCGCTCACTGCACCTTAATAGTTTGATTAGCTGTCAATTGTTCTTTGATTAGTAGGTACGTGTACGTTAATTTTTTGCCGCGGCAAAGACTATTTCGTATAATCTTTGCTCACCACGTAAACTTTCATTGCTTAAAATGTAATGTCGCACCATTTCCTAGTTTCATAGTATCCGCGGTTCGAATATTTTGGTTACGTCATTGGTAACGAAGCATACGTACTGAGGTTACGGTCAACAGTGTCAGCTGTCGGTCGGGCGAGCGGTGTAACGGTAAATAGAAGGCGCGGGAAGAAGCTCAACAAGGTACCTTACCGAGTGACCCTTATGAATGTGTGCGTGCGTAAAATAGTAAGCGTTAGATATTTATGAATGACAATCAGTTAAAATAATGCATTACCACGCATTTTCAATTTAAAAGATAAAATTGACAGAATGTTGGGGATTTTTTAAATAAATTTTTCTTCACCATCTGCTTATATTACTTATTCGGAATACCTTCTCTGCAAATTTGACCGGGTATTGCAAAATAACCCTAAAAAAATTGAATTACCTACCATATCAAAAAATGTATAATATCGAGAAACCAAACATAGCACGGAAGACTCGTTAAATATAAATCAACTTCAATTACCGTCAGATTTGGTTGAAATTCTCATCACTTTTTATATACCCTTTTGATAAAAAATCAACAAAATCAGTTAACTAACCTCGGAGATAAGACTATTATGTTAAATACATTAATAAAAAAATCAATTGATAATCTCTTTTTTTGATGTCGGGTAATTTTTGTTCCAGAGACATCTTAGAAGCAATGAATAAAGACTGCGGTATGCCACTATCGAAGTTGCACGTGGATGGGAAGATGTCTTCAAATGACCTTCTCATGCAGATTCAAGCAGATCTAACTGGAATACCTGTGTGTGAGTATCAGTCAGTTATTATTAAAAAGGGCTTATTTTCTCAGCTAAGACCTGAAGATTTGAAACACGTGCCTTTGTCTAATTTAGGCTCCAGCCTCTATTATTCTCAAATAGTTTTTATAATTGTCGTTTTAGTAAATTTTCTACAATGGCTAATTGTTAAAATTTTGATGTTTATGGAGAGAAAATAAGTTATCATTCATAATGTACGAAACTAACTTTCTTTTAGTAAAAAGCCAAAAATAGCATCGCAATGGGATGTCAGATATGTGATTGTACATATCATATATCATAATTAGCCTCGAATGAATTATTTGACATACATTTCGCGGAAGAATAACTTATGTCAGCACTTTATTAATTAATAAATAATCTTTCTGTGTACGGGTGTTCACGCTTTCGAATATATTTTTTTCCCTTATTTATCGCTCAATCTTTATATCCACTACCCCAGAAACAAATCAGGAGATAGCCAACAGCGTCTTCCTAATAACGGCTAAAAAATAAAAAAACTGCGGTTCACAACCCGCTTGCCAAACGTGTTAACTATGGCAAATATCCCCCCTATGAGGCGATCTATTGGCGAGGTGTATGTTCACCAGTGGACTTTAATAGGCTGTAACAAGTCCACCGCTCAATATGGTCTCCCTCACCATCCATTCATCCGTTATAGGCCTCCCCCATAGTTTGCCTCATTGGGGGGATTTCGCCATAGTTGGTAAGCTTGATTTTTTATAATTGCGAGTTGTCATCAGGAGGATGCTGCTGCCCACTACCTGTTTCAGCAGTTTTTTTTATATGATAAAGGTGACAAGCGAGCACATAGTCCACCTGATGGTAAGTGGTTGCTGCGGCCCATAGACATCTACATCTACCCTCGATTACGAATCAAAATGCAGATGCTTTGTCACCCGTGTGGACTAGGATAGAATGCCTCTTTTCCAGTAAAAAGAGCCTTCGGTTCTCTACACTCCCATACAAAACATAGCAGCATTACGCTGCTATTTTACGCTGGTATTCTGTGAGAGCGTGGTCCTTCCCCGGCCGAACACACTACACAATTAATATAGCTCCAGCATGGTTCTACCAAAAGTTTTTCTCTTTTGCCTCTCTTTAGTTCGGTTAAGAGGAAAATAGAACTAGGAGATGGGCAATAGCATCTTCTTGTTAACTACTTTTAAGAATAACTGTGGCTACAAATCCAATCGTAAATGAAAATTAAAAAAAAAACGAAAAAAAGATACAGCCTATATACGTCCCACTGCTGGCCACAGGCCTCCTCTCATTTCTGAGAGGGTTTTAAGGCAAGAAAATGTCCGCCGCGCTGCCCTAATGCGTCTAAAATAGTTTTTTTTTTCTCAGACATGCAGGTTTCTTTACGGTTTTTTCCTTAACTGTCAAGCACGCGGTAAATCAGTACTTAAAATTGCAATTAACAATTTCACAGGGTGCGTGCAGCCTGCGCTAAGCCCCTGAGCTACCACGGCTCATCTCATTCCATCCATCCGTCCATCCAACTCCGTCCCAACTGTGTGTAACACCCAAGCGTGGTAACTATCTAATATCTACTTAAGAGGGGTATCGTACAGAGAATGCCATCTGGCATTAAGTCCGCCGTTTGTAACTTCTATGGTTAGCACAATAAAGTGTTTAAATAAATATAATAGTGTTAGTTGAATAAATAAAGTGTTATTGTTACAGTGCGCGCGCACTCGTGGGACATGGGCGCGCTGGGCGCGGCCGTGGTGGCGGGCCACTGCGCCGGCGTGTGGGGCGTCGAGCGCTGGCGCCACCACGCCACGCCCGCAGACACCTTCCTGCCCACCACCACCGACGACGGTCAGTCTCTTTATATAACATTCAACTCCTTAACAAACTTGTATAAGGCTGACAAACAAGCACACAGTCCACCTGATGGTAAGTGGTGGCTGTGGCCCATAGACATCTACATCTATCCTCAAATATGAATCAAAATGCAGATGCGTTGTCACCCGTGAGGACTAAGATGGAATGCCTCATTTCTGATAAAAAGGGTACGAGACAGCAGCATTAAGCTGCTATTTCCTGCTAGTTATTCTACGAGAACGTGGTACTTCTCCGGTCGAGCACCCACTCGTGCTACAACCATAATGTAGCTGTAGCATGGCTCTACCACCTTCAAAACGTGCTTCTCGTATGAGGTGCTATTTACTTAGTTTGTGTGGCTGGCGCCGCCATCCCACGCCACATACTTTATCGTTCATAATATGTTAGTAATACGTTACAAACTACAGTAATAAAACAAAATGTAACAGAAACCCTGTGCTCCCGTTAAAGCATTTCGAATACCTTTCACTTCAATGTTTCGAAATGTACTGCAGATGAGATTTCTTGGCACAAATTTGATCTCACAGCTAGTTACAAAAAAGTCTGATTATACTCGCTTGTGAGCGCTGAACTAAACTTTTTATTGGGTAGTTTTCCACCTTAGTGTGTAGTACACTCTATGTATTCGCCATACCCTATTCGCTCGAATCAAAAAATCTGCTTCGCATTAAAAGACTAAAGAAAAATATAAACTATAATTCAACGCTCACGAGCGTGTCAAGAGCGGAAAGAGTGAAGAGTGAATGGTTTAATACATAAATAAATAAAATAATAATTAATCAAAATAGCAGTGCCTACAGTTATGAAAATCGCTGATGGTGCAGTCTGCATGAAGCTGTTATTTTTAAAATGCTTCTATTGCTCGTGTCGATTATAATATTATTATAATTAAAATTTATTTTAACTGCGTTAAATTAATAATTTTTACCGTGTAATGGCGGTTGCAGTAATATTCAATTCAATATCATGCCGTGGGTGTCGTATGAGACGACAGAGGGAAACAAAACATGTAGCATGATGGGCCTGTAGAATTTTCCTGATAATTCATCCCAATAACAACTCAAAATTATAAGAAAAACTGCAGTTGATAACCCGTCTGTGAAGTGTAGCAACTATTGCAAATATATCCCCCATTAGGCAATCTATCGGCGAGGCCTATAGAATAGAATAGAATAATTTTTATTCAATATAGATTATAGTACATAATACTTATTGAAAGTCATTCTTTACTTTTACCACTGGTTCGCAAAAAAAAACCTCTGTCCTGGGAAAAACCAGTAAGAAACCCAGCGGGACTTTTTTTTTAAAAAGCACAATTTACAATATAATATTTTATACAATTCTTATGAAAACATATAGAAACAGCATGGTAGTGATCACACCTCATTCCCAGAGGTTATTATTAGTCGTGTACGACTTTGGACTGCAATAATGTCTGCTATTTTTTTTATAGGATAGGGTGAAAAGCGAGCACACACCCACCTGATGGTAAGTGGTTGCTGTGACCCATAGACATCTACATCTATCTTCAATAAAAAATCAAAATGCAGATGCGTCGTCACCTGTGAGGACTAAAATGGAATGCCTCTTTTCCAATAAAATGGGTCTCCGTTTCTCTGCACTCACCATACGAAACACAGCAGTGTCAAGCTGCCATTTTACGCTGGTATTCTGTGAGAGCGTGGTTCTGCCCCGGTTAAGCCGACCCATTCGTGCTACAACTACACTACTAATATAGTTGCAGCATGGCTCTACCACGTAATGCTAATTACTTATTGCCACATGTGTACGCGCACACATAGATTTATTATTCCAAACGTACTAATACCCAAAGTACTAATTTGCAAGTAAGCAACCACGGTACTTATTATATCGAGTTGTTATCAGATGAGATAAGATGCAGATACCTATCACGCTGCATAGTCTTTTACGCCATCACTACGATTAAAAAGTAATGATTGATTTTGTTTTAGATCGGAACGTGAGGTACACGAAATGGAAGATGGCGGTCCAACGTTCCCTCGGCTGGGCGACAACTAAAAAATCCATCACAATGACAGGTCAGACCAAAAGAAAATCTAGTATGGTAACACTCCCGAGTCAAAGCTTTGATGTTTCTTTATCACCGCCGCAAAGTAGAAAAAGTTCTCTTGTCGATGGCCCGAGCATAGATTATACACACAAATTCGGCAGTCCCGTCACAGACGACGGAGTAGATGATTCCGTTGAGGAGTTAATAAAGTATTCAGCTCGGAAATTTTCCATTTTTGTACCGATAAAAATCGGAAAAGACGAAGCCACGATTCTAGATGATGCGGACTACTTTATGAGTAAAAAAGAGTGCGATTACGGCATGTGTCAGTGTTGCCACACCAAGAAAAAATTGCAAACCGACTGGGAGACAATAGAGGAAATCATAGAGAACGATCCGGAGATTATTTTCGATAGCGATGATAATCCGATTGTTGTTGAACCAAAAAATGATTTATTGGATGAACCAAAAAATGATTTATTGAAAAATGACTCGTTAGTATCCCCAACAATTCTCGGTAACGGGGTTAGTTTACGAAAGACAATGCAGTTAGGTAAAGTCCCCGAAATCTTTAAACATATATGTAGTAAATTATCAGACACATCCCTTAATTAATATCCCCGTTTTTTATAATTTAGAATTTGTATTATTAGACAGATCTAACATTTAGATTTTTCCAATTGTATTGTAATTAAAAAGTAAATTTTTAAATTTCGAATTATTTATTTCTAATTTAAATAAGGTTTATAATCAAATAAAATATCCAGAATGGATGTTGCTAGCAACTTAAATGAAATACTCACATCGTGATTTTTTTTATAAATTACACATTCTATTAGTTTAGGTTTCATTAGCTGTTAATTTGTTGTGTAGTTATTTTATTTTACATTATGTTAAGACTGTTACTAATTTAACCTCTCAATAAAATATTGTTTCAAAAAATAAAAGTCTTTAATTTTTTTTATTCTAATAGTATAGCATTCCAGGTCATTTGGACTTGTTTTAACTGAAATTTTAAATCATTACAATGTAATCCATTTGCGAATAAAAAAATATCGTCATAAATTTTCATTACAATTATGATAAAAATTTTCATAACAATATAAAAATATATAAACGCTTGTCATTTAATAGAAATAAAATTAAGACATAAAATAACGATTAGCAACTCGCCTCGCTCAATTATACAAAAGCCATGAACTTCGCCTGCAAGACTTACTAGATTATCATATTACGTAGCATATAATCCCATTGAGATCTCATGCTGGTTTTCTGTTAGGTTGCCTATAGTGTTCTCGGCTTAGTCAAAACACTACAAAAAATAAAATAAAAACACTAAACACGCATCTAATCTACATCTAGGCTAATTACACAATTACTGAGAATAATTACTTGTGCTTGCTTTTTTCTTTTCGATGATCGCTGAAAATCTAAAAGCTTTAAGAGATTTATTTCTTGATTGTATCAAAGAATTTTTATACAATTTAGAGATAAAGATACTTGTAAATTGTACAAAGTGTTATTCAGTTTAAAAAGAACAGCGTTTTCGGTGTTTTTACGCGAAATATCCTATAAGTACAGTTTTGAGAAATTAATAATAACTTATGGCAATACTAAGAAGATTTGATATTTCTTCCTTATAATATGCAACGATATAATTGACATTTAAAGAAATAAGATGGCGGTCACTTCAACAGATAAAAATTGACCTAGGTAATAAAATAATGTTTAATTCAAATTATTGTAAATTGTATTAGGTTAGTTTAGTTTTACCTTTTATTCACAGTTATTAACACACCTTGCCCTTTATTGGGATTGTTTTTGGATTTACGTTTCTGTTGCTCTTTTATAACATATTTAATACATTATTGAATTTTGAAAGTGGGTTCAATATTAGTGCAGAATAAATAAAACAAATGATTGACCGAATGTTCTTTGTTTGAGGCCGTTGTTATTCAACGAAAATAAGTATAAAGTTGATTTTTATTATTTAAAATGTCCTTGCCTCAGAAAAGAATCCTTACACTAAAAAGGGTGTATGATGGAGGTGGACAAATTAGATTTGTTTGAAAAATTAAACATAATCACATGAGGTACATGCATCACAACGACTCCTCGCTATAAACGACGCAAGTTATATCCCCCTCTGGTACCTTTAGTGTTGTTATGTAATATATAAATGATTACGGTGTTGCCTTACACATAGTAAGGCAACACCAGAGTCTTTACGATAATAAATCATTAACTTTAAAAAATATTGTGTTAATTTTCTTTTTTTTTTTCGCAGAGGAGAGATACAAACTTCTGGCATCGATTCCAGCTACATTATACATAATGGGTAGTTTCGCAATGCTAGTCGTTTCAAAAATGCTCAAAAATAGTTGATAAGCTAAAATTATATTTATCGCTTAAGTTATTAGTGTCAATTTCTCAAATATATTTAATCGGGAATAGAGTATTGAATTTGAACATAAAATATTTAGTTTCTTTGAATTTAATAATACTACACGACACTGACAATCTATGCAATAGAAAGCAAGAGTGGGACGGAATATAATACAGACATATCACAGTGTTGGGTCTTATGGCTGTCCATCCGACTGATTTACACTTCGACAAGTAGAGTAACGAGTTTAGTTACAGGGCAGTTGACAGTAAATGGTTAAGTGGGCAGTAGCTTTCAAATGTCTATGTAACGAGTTTAGTTTAAAAAAGTACAATTTTATATTTTGAGGGTCGAACGCGAACACGTTGCGTTCAGTCAAATTATGCGCTGAACTAAACTCGCTCGTTTCATACGAGCAGCGAGTTTAGTAGAGGTTGGAAGACGCGCAGGAGGGCAACACTTCGAACTTAACTCGCTGAAAAATAGCTCGGTCGGCTATCCCGTTCAACTTAATTGTTAATTTGCTACTTTGCACTACTCACTGGTTGCCGTTCAAACGACATTTTTACTAGACTTCTGTACTTGTCAAAGTGTGAATCGGTCTGTAATTAAAACATAGAGTATATATCTGTCTCGCTCCCGCTTTTTGTTTTATCTCCTACTTGGTGCTGCTGTCATCATTATAATTAAAGTATTCTTGCCTATAATTGATAAATGTAATATTGCAAAATGCACATTATTTCTATATTTACTAGACAAATTCTGTGTGTTACATTTTTCATTATGGATGCAATAAAATGAATACTAATACCACAGATTAAGCAATTGTTCTAATTCTTACTCTATGGAAGAAAGTCTATGGGAAAAGAAACAATATAGGATTTTAAGGCAAGGGCATATTTACTTAGTATTTTACATGCTTCGTCTGGTCATTAAGTAGTCATTAAAGCTCGATGGTATTTAAACAGTATAATCGAATTAATTTTTTTTAAGTTTTTATGTATATAATATCATTTGATTGATTGTAATATACGTTTTTTACAATATGATTATTAGTTCCCGCACAGACTATATACTAATTTAAAAATTCCACAGACCCACAGACTAAGAAATTGTCTCATAAGGTCTCTACGGACTGCTTTGGTACTAATTTAACTAGGAGAAATATGCACAGCCGTTGGACATGTTTCTCAGAGTGAAATCTCATTGGTTCATTGTTTGTTGATTATGTAAATTATTATTTTATGAAGAAAACCAACCAAAAATCAATTTTAATTTAAAAGTTTCAATTATTATTTTTAAGTGTATATCAATGCCAAAAAAACATGACTGAGAATTTGAGAAAAGATGTCAACAAAAATGTTAAGGTCCTTGAACCAAGTAATGGGTTGTTTTCGCATTTTGTATACTATATTTAACTTGATCTCCTACTAAACCATTCCTTGTTTAATGGACGACTCTCTAAAGTGGATTGGATGTTTCGACACCTTTTTCGGTTTATCAACTTATTTACGTTAATTATTAGCTTTATACAATGGTACTTTTTCCGTTACGGCTGTAACGGAAAAAGTACCATATTGAAGTCCAACGCTGAATATAGGCCTCCCCCATAAATTGCCTCAAAGGGGGGATATTTGTCATAGTTGCCATGCTTTGCAAGCGGGTTGTCAACGGCAGTTTATTTAAAATTTAAGTCGTGATTAGGAAGACGCTGCTGCTTATCTCCCGATCTCTCGAATTTGTTTCCCTATGACGATTATTACAACACCCACGGGATGATATGGGGTGACGGATATTCTACGTCACTACGCGGTAAATACTATTTAATAGTACGTGAAAATCAAAATGTAATCAAGTTTTAAAGTGTAAGGGGGGGGGGGGGGACATTTCCACGTTGGTAAGCCTGGGTCTTATTAAAACAACCAAATAGTCAGGATATTGTTTAGAAAAGTTTGTGTTTCGTATGGTGAGTGTAGAGAACCGGACACCCTTTTTACTGGAAAAGAGGCATTCCATCTTAGTTCTCACGGACAACGCATTTGCATTTTGATTCACAAACGAAGATAGATGTAAATGTCTATGGTTCACAGCAACCACTTACCGACAGGTGGACTGTGTGATGGCTTGTCACCCTTATCCTATAAAAAAAAGAATAAAGAAAAATGGGTGTGGAATAAATTAGTTCCTAATTTGTCTCTGTATATATATACCGTGATGTTATAAGTAAATAAAACACGATGGCCACAAACTACTAATAATGGAGTTCTCAGTATAAATAATGAGTATTACCTTTGAATAGAGTTCTGTGGCCACAAAATCGCAATTTGACATTTCCAAATATTAATTTTAAGGATTTTTTTTATTTGGTTTTAAAAACCTTTGTGGTAAAAGACAAAAAAGGCATTTGTGTAGGTAATGACAAATTTATACATTTATTTGATATTTGATTTAATATAAGTAGAAGAATTTTTGAAATAGTGGAATTAATATTATTAATATAATCCTTGATAATCTTGTCTCTGGTGGAAGCTGTTTATACTAACTTGAATTTTTTACATTAATGTTTTTAATCATTCCTATTGTATTTACAATTATTGCATTATTGTACAAGTCTCTTTTCTAATGCAAATAATGTATGTTTTGTTAATTATGATTTTGTGTTTTATACGTCTTTTTGAATATTTTAAATTGCATTTTCATTACATACTTATTTCTATATAGTGAATTTTAATTAAATGCTTATATTATACAATATTTATTATTTATGCATATAAATTCTGTAACCAAAAAAATATTGTTACTTAAAGGTAAATAAAGTGCATTTGTTGGTTTGTCTGTTGAAATGTTCATTTTATTTTGCCTTAACTTATGGGCTTGATGTGTGAGTAACCGAAAAAATGTATAGACAAGAATTAAATTTCCACCCAAGAGAACAATGTGATGCCATCTAATCAACTAATCTTGTCATCTAATTATGACTGTGTTATAGATGTTTAGACAGAGGTGATTAATTTAATTGAGATAGAGAGAGAGAGAGAGAGAGAAAGAGAAAGGGAGAGAGAAAGGAGCGGTGAACTTTCACTCCTCGTTTCTTCATTTATTGCACGCTTCACAACTTAGGGAGTGCTCTACTTTCGATATGTGGCCATAACTCAATTTCTCTACATAAAATCGTTCTTAAACTTTTAGCCAGACATCAAACCCATATTATTATTAACGTTACAATAATTACAGATATTGAATTATAAGATTACTTTATTTTCTAATTGATTCACTTTAGATTACATAACAAAAAATGTAATTGAAAAAATATATGGCCTGCATTCCGTTGATCTGTCCGTCGGCTCAGAATAAATAATAGTACTACGTAGCATCTGTGAGTCTTCTCGATAGAAATGTAAGCAACAGATTGAGATGTATAGTATTAAATAAGATTCCATGTATTCTAACGAAAATCCCCATTGATTTTTGTTATTGAACTCATCAAAATTTCATTTCATTAAAAAAAAAAAACGCTCACGAGGCGTGCACTTTTGGATTTTCCAATTTTTTTAATTTTTTATATTTTGAACAACAAGGATTGTGCTTTTAAAGCACCAATGATCTTTCAAAAATACATGATCATTTACGAATTTTATGCACCAATGATCTTTCAAAAATGAAAGATCATACCTTTAAAAGCACTAACTATTTTTTTTAATTAAAAATATAGTTTGCGTTTCTACTATATCCACTTATTTACAAACTGATATGATCACCACCAAATGGCAATGAACCAAAGTGCAACTCACAACCAGACCTTTCCAGAATGACGGAGGCGGAAAGTAACGTTAGTACCCGTAGAAGAAAAAACTGGATAAAAGTGAGATACAAGGACTACGCAGTGAGATATCTCGTATGAATAATCTATTAGAAAAGTTCGTTATACACAGGAGAAATTAATGACCGATATGCGTGGAACAAAGTCTTGAATTGGGGGCGACTAAATTTAGTCTAGTTCAATCCCCAGAAGACATAAGTTTGCGCGTTTACCGCTAAAAAGAACCCCTTTGTCGTATCTGCTCAGTTTCAAGGCACTCCCCTTGCTGCCTCAGCTAGCATCGGAATCCTCGTAGTAGATGTAGATGTCTATGGGCCACAGTAACTAGGTACTTAGCATCAGGTGGACTGTGTGCTTGTTTGTCACCCTTATTCCATAAAAAAAAATAGCTTCTAACGTTAGATGTTGTAATAATAAATCCACACTATTATAGATATAATGACAATAGATATAACGTTAACGTTGCCCTACCTAACCTGTACTGCTACGTGAACGATGTTAGTGATGTAGTAACTCTCCCTGATAGTGATTTGGCTTATATCGATATTCAGTATATGATTATTATGATGTATGTGAAATGTATTGACTGAAGAAACAGAATTGCAAAATTTATTGGAAATTGTCTTAATGTATTACGTATATCCCTGTAATTCAAATAGCCCGCATATAATTAACTGTCTTTAATTGAAATTTATTGATTGTTAGCTAAAATATCATTTATGAAATGGAAACAAGAAAAATAATGAAAACAATAATTTTGCAATTGAAATAACACATATTTGTTAAAAAATATCGTTTTCAGACTAATATTAAAGTTTAGACGATAATTAATTAAGATACTAAAGTCGACTATGATATTAAGATCACTTTTATTTCAGCTTCTTTCCAAAAGTCGTGAGTATTACTAAACTACTTACTTCTCTGGCTTAGCAATCCTAACAAAAGTTCATTCATAGGGTATCGTCCTATAATTTCATATATTTTCATAGACATCAAGTATTTGCAAATTTTCATTAATATCTTAGTGGATGAACAGGACTCTGATAAAATTTTATCGAAAACTTTAATATCGGCGTAGTCACAACACTATCGCAGCTATTTTTACAGATCAACCTTAGTATAACGAGATAAGATGAATATTTCTTGTAATAAAGGCAATTTGATATTTTTTCATTGTTTAGTCAAGTTTCTATCCAGAAAAGGAAAAAATTAGACGTGCCTTTGCTACGAAACACCTCCATTCAAAATATTTTTCTTTTTACTTTCGTTTTTAAACTCTAATATTGCCCAAAACGGCATATTTTCGCATATATCACTTAAGCAGCGATCCGTCAACTCGCAACAATTTGAACTTGCAACTGACAGTCAATTACGCTCTGCTGTCACTAATTCTGACTCGCCTGCTCCGCTCACTTTGGGCTTCATCTTTTTTTTTATATTACGTGGTTCAAACGTTGACCGTAGCAGAGACAGCTTCCTGTATCAATTATGCGGTTAAAGAGGATATGATTAACGAACGCATTGTGCTTAATACAATCGCTTTTGACAATGAAGACCGGATACTATGAAACAACCAAGGAATTGGCTTCATGGTTTGATGTTAGTTTACCCACAATATTGACTGACTCATTTGCACCAAATTGGTAAAATAAATAACGCTAGAAATGGGTACTTAATACTTTCACTTTCCTGTCCTCTCACTATTGTGTCTGGAAACTGGACAGTGAAAGAGTTAATTAAGTGATACGCATAGTGTATAGAGGAGCACGAGTTGGAGCTTATCTTGCTTTGTTGAGTAGGTACAGAAATAAAGGGGTTTTGCACAGAATTGTGAAGTGCAATGAAAAATACCAAAGTGAAATACCGGAACAATGCCCTAAAGCGGAGCTCACCGATAGAAAATTAATAGTAACTGTTTGGTAGCCTCTTCGTGGTGTAATTCACGAAAGCTTTATAAAATCCGGTTAATAGATAACGGCAGATGTCTATTGTGTAAAATTTTGAACAAAAATGGCATAACTCTTAGAGAAATAATCCTCGACTTGTCAATCGATCTTCGCCATTACTGCTTGACAAATATATTACAAGTATATTATATAATATTATAAGACCTACAGTGAGATACCAAACGTTATTCTACAGAATCGCCAGACCTAGCCACAATTGATTTAATTTTTTCCTCAATTTGGACAAAGTTAATTGTTCTCAGGAAGCAGTACTAAATACATTTATAGACTGTAGAGTACAATTCCCCAAATTTCTATCGCAAAGGTTTAATGATCATACCATGCCATGCGGTGGTTGAAATGTATAGATAATGAGGGCCTCATTGCCTATACATTTCAACCATACAGTCCGTCCTATATAGTCCGTCCACGCTTAATCTAAAGTGTTGTGTGCCATCACCGAATATAACACGAAAAATTATTAAGATCATTGATATTTCTTTGGCATAAAATAGTTTTGATGCCTGTAAATCTGTCATATTTTGCCGTTTAGTAGTCATATATGTCAAGATACCCCGGTCGCGCGCCTCCTATTACACCCTTTGACACCATAATTTTGTTATAATCTCTGTTTGCTTCTCAAAATATTACTTACGTACCGTACGTGGTAGAGCCTTAACACATACAATAGTAGCTTAACACTGCTGTGTTTCGTATGGTGAGTGCAGAGACCCGGAGACACTTTTTACTGGAAAAGAGGCATTTTATCTTAGTCCTCACGGGTGACAACGCATCCGCAAACGAGGATAGATGTAGAAGTCTACGGGCCACAGCAACCACTTACCATCAGGTGGAACTGTGTGCTCGTTTGTCCCATATATTATAACAAAAAGATACCATATTAAAGTATTTCAAGGTGCCATGTTATTTAATTGCAGCGTGGTCGGACTGTGAATATAAGTATTTTACACGGACAAATGTGCAAAGGTATGAACTTATATCAAAAAAGGATTTGTTTACACGGATGTCAGGAGTTTTGGCGGGAACTTTACCGGCGGCGGATTGCTGCTCCTGTATTGTTGTTTAAAGAATGGTTTGAAGTGTATCTTGATATATAAAAGTGGTGCGATTTTGTGTATTAAAGTCTGCGCATGTGAACTATCAGTGCACAGATTAATGTATCAGTGGAAACGGTGAAACAATTGCTACGATGTTGATGTGAATCTCAAGATAAAGTGTTTGTCTGCGTAGGCGACTTGAGATACTATAACCAATTGCTGCCAATTGCTCAAGTTGCCGTCAAAATTTCCCAAGAGCTGCGCAATGTGATGAGTAGAAGAGAATAGAATAATTCTTTATTCAATATGGATTATAGTACATAATACTTATTGAAAGTCATTTTTTACTTTTACCACTGCATCAACATGTTGTGAAGTAGCCGGATGGTATTATTATCACCTGATACTGAGTTAAATATGAAGGCATAGCTTAAAGAACAAGCATCCAAACCAAAGCTTAATAAAAAACACAAATGTCAATGTCAAAATCACGAGATCGAGATTTTGATTTTTTGTTTTGGAAACCTCCATGGTTTTGGATTTGGATTGGATCACTTACTCCGCTAGGAGTAAAGTATTCTATGATTTGCATTAGGGGATAGAGATTAAAGATAGGTTGATTAATTAAAAAAAGGTACCTACATGTAAAGTTTATATTTTTAATATTATGTGCATATCACATTGTTCATAATTTTACTCAATATATCAAATCATGCTAAATATATGAAGAACCGACGTTATTTATTTATTTTCAGTCACTAATGTGTGTGATATAATATCGTGGAAATTAAATGGCGCAGAATATTCTAATAAATGACCTCCCTCTAGAAATATTTATCAAAATTCTTAAGGAAGTTGATGGAGTGTCATTAGGCAAATGCCGAAGGGTGTGCAAAAAGTGGAGAGATGGTATCGATGGTAGTGATCAGATTTGGCATGAAGTGTGTCGAAAAGAGTTTAAACATTCCTCTGAAATAGCGAAGCGAAAAGCTGGAAATATCTGCCGATGGTATCATATATATAAGAATCTTAAAATGTGGATTGATATTACGACATTCGATAAAAAAGTGCGCGAGTTTTATAAATTTTCGCTCCACGATAAATCGCATGCTCTTGACGTCGATTATGGAGTTTTACCGTTGAAAGATGCTAAAGGAGTAGTTTTCTATGATATGAGTAATCTGAAATATATACCTGTTGCAATTTCAGAAACCAATTGCTGTAAAGTTACCAATAATGACCATGTTTCAGTTATCTTGACGAAAACAGGATTATATGTACAAAAATGTGTAGATTCTAATGGCGTAACTGAAGGTTTCTTTAAAGCAGAAAATTTTGTTCTATCTGGTGAAGTGATCTACTTCCATAACGGTAGAGATGTTTATAAAATAGATCTTACACTTGACAATATAACATCTAAGCTTATAACCCTCTGCAACTACAATATCAAAGAGATTCAGTATTGTGATGGGATATTACATTTATTTACTACTTGTGGAAAAATAATAAATATCACAAATAATTATGAGATCACAGAAAAACCAATAAACTGTCCTATAGAATGGGTGAAGCATTTAAAGAATATATGTGCTATAAATGATCATAATTTTGTTTGTTATTCACGCAACTTATTCAAACTAGATACAGATAAATATCATCATTTATATTTAGAGTTTCCTACTATAACAGCATTATTTTTCTATGCTGATGTGGTTCTTTTAGGAACTAGGGCTGGTGAGTTGTTGCTGTATCGCTTATCTAGCCAAAAGAAGGGACCTATGTCTAGACCAATATTTGACACCTTAGCAATATTGCCAGAAGGGAAATTTGCCGTGCAATTAGATGTGTGTGAAAGGAAAAATGGGCCTTTAATCATAGCATCTACATTTTTTGAGATTATTCTTGTAGAGTATGACTTCTTTCCTCATGTAAGTTAATGTATGTTAATATTAATGTAAATTTTATTTTTATTTATAGTAAATATCCCAGAAAATATACAAAATTTGACCTGCTCAAAGTTCATAAACTTTATTAAACTAAGTTTGTATAAAAAGGGTTATTATAATATTAAGGAATTTATGGATGGGAATGAGGTGATCACTACTAAGCTATTTCTAATTTGTTTGTGTTGTTAATTGTGTTACATACATGATTGTAAGCTGCTATTTAAAAAAGGTCTAGGTAGATTTCTTGCTGATTCTTTCCAGGACAGAGGTTTTTTTCAAACCAGTGGTAAAGGTTAAAAAGGTTTCTGTTTCTGTGTAAAACTGACTTGACCGTGTAGTGGCTGTGTAAGAATATCAACATAAATAATAACAACTAAAAATAAAAAATTTCAGTTGCCAACTTTCCTGTCAAGTGTTCCAACTATGGTAAATATTAAAGATGACTTGTTTTCCAGAAGTAATATAACTAGGAACATGTAACAGTATTAAAGGTGAGAGGGGTCTAGTATTCCTATCACTAATATATTTACTGTACAATAGGGATATATACAGCAGTGGTCTTTTAAAAGCTGACGAAGAAGAATGTCTAAAATAATGTGGAGAACAAACATTTGAAATAAGTGACAATTAATTTCTTTATTGGAAAAGTAACCTTGAAGGGCTATTTGACAGTTGCATTCCCCATTTACTGACACACATACATTTCTCTGTTTCAGGAACAAGAACCAAAATGCAGCTTCCCAGTTAACAAGTTGACTATGTACAAAAGACTACTTAGACTAAAAGATAGGCTACAGTCTAGTTAAAATTTATATTTCTATCTAATTTATTATTTATTTTCAAAATGAAACCTCGGAAAAACAAATCAATCTAGTTAATCTCATTCTTATCATATTATTCTCATGTTTGGATGTCTTTTATGAAAAATATGAAGATGTCTAAATAGTTGCTGAAAGAATGTTAAAATAGCAAGTGTTCAATTGCGGCGGTAATCACTTACCTTCAATGAGGAATATATGATTGTTTGTCTTCACTACCATAAAAAATAACTTACAATAAAAAAAATACTTTACAATACTTTATCACTTTTAAGTTTCAGTGTGTATATGGTATTATGGTGTATATTTATGATGTAGATAAAACAACGGTTTTGGTCCAAAGCACAAGACAATACTATTATGAAAATGAAAGCAAACAAAATAAGTAAATGATTACACTATGTTATAGTAAAAGCTGAAGTAAATGTTTGTAGAACTACACGCGGACTAAGTCGCGGGCAAAAGCTAGTGGTCAATGTAGTTGAAGTCAATTAAATACACATTATTAGGGATAGCTCCAAAACTACTGGTCTGAGCTTGTGTGCATACTGTTCTAAAATAAGACAAACCAAAATATTGCACACTGTGGCTGTGTGTGTGTTGAAAAATATATACATTGAAAAATATTCACACAATCAGGCTTGAGAGACCAATTGTTTTTAAACAAATGGCTTTAACTCTATTATGTATTGCATATTGTTCATGTTCAAGGGTTCGCAGTCAATATTTAAACTCAATATATTGTTTATGTTAAGCTAATAAGTAATATTTTTCATAAGTTCCTCCAATTTCAAAAGGGAAAATGTGTAATCTTTATTAAATTAATCTTTGTATTACGTTTTATTTATATTTAATCACATTTCATAAGATAGTTTAAGCTGTACCAAATATTTTATCACTGTGTTTTCTATTGTAAAATGTGGTTGCCTGTCGAGTTGTGTTACAATTCTAGCCCAATAAAGTTATGTCTGTTCAATGCCGGTACCATGCCGGCATGATGGCCGATAGCTTGTGCAATAAATCTTCCGTATTCTTCTTCCACAGCACCCATTTACACGTGGGCTGTGTATCGTTTGTCACCCTTATACTATAAAAAAAAAACCGCGACGACTCACACCAGAGTTAAACAATTGCAATACTAGTTTGGTACTACATACCGCGATGATTAGAACTCTCCCGCTTTCTATAAAAAGATACAATGTAAAATTTGTCACTAGACGCGTAAACAAAAGGAATGTTGCTAGGTTCATCAGCGGCATCTGCGCAGAGTATAAACGTAGTTTAACTCTATGCTTCTGCACTTTGTATTACTTACAAGCTTTTGAGCTTAAAGAAATGCCCACAAGGTCAATCATTTTACGTGGTAGAACCATGCTGGAGCTATATTAATTGTGTAGTTTGTTCGGCCGGGGAAGGACCACGCTCTCACAGAATACCAGCGTAAAATAGCAGCGTAATGCTGCTGTGTTTTGTATGGGAATGTAGAGAACCGAAGGCTCTTTTTACAGGAAAAGAGGCATTCTATCCTAGTCCACACGGGTGACAAAGCATCTGCATTTTGATTCGTAATCGAAGGTAGATGTAGATGTCTATGGGCCGCAGCAACCACTTACCATCAGGTGGACTGTGTGCTCGTTTGTCACCCTTATTCTATAAAAAAAAATATCAAAAATGATCAATAATGAATAGGCGCCAGTACCCGCTGGGTTTCGGTTTCTTTCATTTATTATTATTGCGGGGCATCTATATATTTTTTAATTTATATTTTATTTTTGGGCTGTATAAATATATAAATGTAAATGAAAAAAAATATCAATAAAATAAAATAAATAAATAAATAAAAACCCCACCAGATGGAAGCACTGGGCACGGGAGACCAAACGGCCGAGGGTTAGGGAGAAAGTGAAAGAAACCGGCGGACGACGCGGGCGGTGTCGAGGAGTACCGTCTTCTGCACCTGAGTCCGGAGCGGTCCGTCACGGAGTCCCAGTCACCTCAGATGACCTGAGAGGCTGACTGAGATTAACCCGTTCGCAGAAACGACCACAGGAATAATTTCGATCGGCAGATCACCCCACATGTCGGTCACCTCGTGAGCCAGGTTTAGATATTTTGTTCGCCTATCTGTTTCGGCTTTCACGAGGTTCTCGTCTCTTGACTTGACTCTTGACTGTGCCTGGTCCATCACCACAATATCAGGCTTATTCGCAAGAATAGTCCTGTCTGTGATGATGGCGCGGTCCCAGTATAGCCTGGCGCGGTCATTTTCGAGCACGGTTTCCGGTAAGTACTTATCATAAGGCTGTTTCCGATCCACGAGACCGTATTTCAGAGCGAGCTGGTGTAGAATCCTGGCTACAAGGTTGTGTCTGTGTAAGTACTCAGAGTTAGAAAGCGCCGAACAACCAGAGATGACATGCTTAAGTGATTCACCGGTATGGCGACAAGCTCGACAGATGTCGACGGTACCATCCCTTAGGATGTATCTCCGATAGTTGTTGGTCTTAATGACCTAATCCTGTATTGCACAGACAAAACCTGTATCTACGAAAGGCTCATGAAGAGCCTTGTAGAACCTCCCGTGGAGCTCCTTCTTCTTCCATAAGGTCTCCCGGTCGGAAATGCACTGTACTGCTGGCTCTTGCCATTGCTCGTCGACTAAGGATAGAGGGGTTAGCACTTTATCACACGAAATGACGTCCCTGTAGAATGGATTATCCGATTTCGTCAGGAAGTAATTACGCAGGCTGCACTACTCGCGATTATGCATGGTGAGAGCGCTGAAAAACCCGCACCCACCATGTTTCCGCGGCAAGTATAGCCTCATTACTGACGAACTCGGATGATGCATCCTGTGGGACGTCATAACAGTGTGGGCTTTTCTGTCCAGAGCGTTCAGTTCGGTCTGAGTCCACCTGAGTATGCCGAAGGTATACATGAAAACAGGCGTTATCCAAACGTTATAAGCGTGTGTCTTATTAACGCCCGACAAAAGACTATTGAGCACTTTTGTCAAGCGTGCATAAAACACATCGCAAACTGACTGTTTCATGTCCGCCTCATCGATACCTATGTTCTGTGACATACCCAGGTATCGGTATGTTTCAGCCTCGGATCGGACCTCCTTATGTTGATGGGCATAGTTAAGTCTTCAGACTTAGCCACCCAACCCCTTTCGACATGGAGGACCGCACAGTTATCCGTCCCCGGCTCCATTCTAATAGAATGCTAAAATCACAATTGATGTTTAGCAATTCCATAAGATGGGAGCGACTGGAGGCGAACTACTTGAGATCATCCATAGAAAAGGTGGGTGACTTTCTACCTCCTCTCCTCCTTTTTTAATTATTGTTATACGAGTACTAAGATATGGGGGAAAATCGAAATATACCTAGTCAGGTCATAAATTCTGTCACATGTTTAATATAAAATAATTGAAACAAATTTATTCATTATGTCACCATTTATATATCAAAATGAACTTAACAAAACATAGATTTTTATGACACTAAAGTTTATTCAAAATGACCTCCGTGATTTTGAATACAGGCCTTCAATCTGCGCGGCCAGTCGTCTATCGCAGCACGAACGAGGTCCATGTCAATATCGGCGGCTGCCTTAATCAAGGATGTCTTGAGTGACTCAAAATTGGGATGAGGCTTTGAGCACGCTTTTTCCTCCAAGTGTTGCCATATCTTGTAATGGACTGGAGGAGGGCCAGTCTTCGTGCCGGATGAAGTCGATTTCACGCACCGCCAGCCAGTCTTGTGTGCTCTTCGCTCTATGACCTGGCGCCGAATCTTGTTGGAATACCCAGTGTCTGTTATTGAATATGGTATGAGAAACAGGTTCCACAAGGTTCGTCAGGACTGTATTTTGATACACAACTGCATTCGTTTTTACACCTTTCACACAAAAATGTACCTCTGTTAAGCCCCAATAAGAAACTCCCAACCATACCATAAGCGAGGATGGAAAATGACCTCGTTGGACACGCGGAATACGGTTGCTCGCTTGTTCACTACTGTGTGCGTACACGTTATCATTTTGTTTGTTGTAACTCTCTTCTACGGTAAAAATTTTTTCATCCGAAAAAAGAATTTCCCGATATTCTTTTCCCGCGTACCGCTTCAACAAAGCGCGGCATCTCTTCAGTCTCAGGTCCATTAGACGAGCATTCAAACGATGTTCTGTTTTTCTTTGATATGCCCGAAGCCCTAAGTCTTCATTTAACACCCTTTTCACCGTGGTTCTGCTTAACCTGAAGGGCCAAGTTTCTGCTTACATTTGGGATTTCTTTGAATTCGCGCTTTCAGAGCTTTTATCACTGCTGGAGTCCTAACAGACCGAGGGCGACCACTTCTTGACCTGTCATCTACACTAGAGTCTTCATTGTATCGTTTGATAGTACGATAAACGAATCTTTTGGTTATATTCAAATTTTTCAGTATGTCAAAAATTTGAATTGGCGCGTAACCGCAACGATGCAACGCAATAACTGCAACACGGTCTTCTTTAAGCGTCCACTCCATATTTAAAAATGAGTAAAATTCTAAAAAGTATACAGTTTTATTTTCATGAACAATTCAAAATTCGAATTCAATAAACTTTTTTGTGGCCAGCATTCTAAAAGAAAAGTTTTTACTGTGTGACAATACTTATGACCTGACTAGGTATATAATATGTTCCTACGTTTTTCATTTATTATAGGCCATCAAAAGTTCATTTCCGAACATAGGCCTCACCCATGGGTTGCCAAATAGGTGTAATATTTGCCATAGCTGCCACGCTTGACAGGCCGGTTGGTAATCTCAGTTTGTTTATTATTATTATGGGGTGTTATCACGAAGATGCTACTGTCCGTTCATATTTCAGTTTCTTAGATAGAAATAAGTGCTCACGATTTATTATTACCACTACCCCCATATCATCCCGTGGGTGTCGTAAGAGGCGACCGAGGGAAACAAATCAGGGGATGGTGAGGCCTATGAGGTAACTATTTAGTACCCGGAAAACAACACATTATATGGTTAAATAGGCGACTAGGTAGCACAGTTGACTGCCTCGTTGGTCTAGTGGCTGTAGTAGTGCGACTGCTGATCATAAGGTCCCGGGTTCGAATCCCGGGTCGGGCCAAAAAAAATCAGTTATTGAGTTTTTCTATCAAGAAATTCTCATTAGCAGCCCGGAGTCAGGAAGTTGGCGGTGTCTCACCCCCGTGCCTCGGAAAGCACGTTAAGCCGTTGGTCCTGCGCCTGATCTCTCTCCGGTCGTGTCGGTTTACCGTCCCATCGGACTATGAGAGTGAGGGAATAGAGAGTGCACCTGTGTTTGCGCAAACACTTGGGCACTATAATCCTGTCCTGCGCAGATGGCTAGTCTCCGTTGAGACTGGCCGCCGTGACCGAAATTCGGTCTGGAGGACATTATTATTATTATTAGGTAGCACACTGGACACACGTCCCGTCACTTTTAGCTTATCTAAAGAAAATGTTGGGAATATTTACGTAACTAATATTTATTTAGGTTTAGCAATTTTTATTTATTATCTAAAATGTTTGGTGTTAACAAATTAATATTTATTATTAATGATGTAATTTTTCAAATTTATATCCATAAAAGTATGTAATCTGACAACTCCTAACAAAATGAGATTTTAAGTAAATGTCCTAAATTTTGAAAATGCAGTATTATTTTAATTATAGTAATAAATGATTGTTGATTATAAATACAATTTTATTTGGTTGTCTAACCATAAGCCAATAACCCAACTATGACATAAATGTCGATGTCGTTGACGTGTAATATGATAATATTCCCTGATAATGCGTCTCAAGGAATATTTCGAACTTTGCTTAAATTGTAGAAAATTACATATAAATTCTGAGGTTATCGTAACCTCAAAATTTATATGTAATTTTAATGAAGTTAAACTTTTATTGGCCGATTTAATGACTGAATTCTAAGTTCATACCACACTGGGCTTAGCCAAGTGGACTTTTGCAAATATAAAGCTATAAAGCTCTCGTCTAAACGCTACGATTGTGATTGATTGCCGATTATTCAGTTATTGGCGACACAGGGCGAAACAAATCCCTGCATGTAATTCAAGTCTAACGAATCAACGTTTTTCTGCCACCAGGGCAGCGCTACTTAGGTGTGAGGTGTAATATTTGACAGATTTCATAGCGGAGGAAGTTAATTTGTTCGGAAAATGTAAGGGTTAATGTCTATTTCTGAAATATTTTTTATATTAATTAGATTAGAAATGAATAAACCAAACTACGGATTTTCTAATAAATAACGGTGTTAACGGTGGTTAACGGTGGTAGAGCCCTGCAGCAGTTTTTTGCTGCTTGTATGGGCCGGCTCGAGCCGGGTTGGTACCACGACCTCACAGAATACCGGCGTGAAGTAGAGGCTCTGCTTCTGCGTTTCGTCTGGTGAGTGCAGGTGGCCGGAGGCCCAATTCCCCCCCCCCCCCCCCCATCAACATGGTAGCGGAATTAGACAATAGACTACCCCAGGAGGGTACCAGTACCCCTGGAGAATCCCTCGCTGAGCATCCACGACCATGTTATTCCAATCCTGAGCGTGGGTGCTCAGGCTGCCCCGCGTATTCTGGGGGGGGCAAAATTCCGCTCAAAAACAAAACTGCTCGGGGCAAGCTGAGCAACAATACCAAGGCGACCCCTGCCACGCTATCCGTGAATTTCTGCAACATCAGGGGACTTCACTCTAACCTAAACGCCGTCCACTACCATCTCGAGACGGCGAAGCCGGCCTTGCTCTTTTTGACCGAGACGCAGGTTTCCTCTCCGACTGATATTTCGTATCTCTCCTACCCGGGGTACAAATTGGAGCACTCCTTTGTGCCTCGGGCTGGAGTTTGCGTGTATGTTAGAGAGGACATCTGTTCTCGACGCCTCGGCAGTCTTGAAGGTTCGGACCTGTCCATCCTTTGGCTACGCGTAGACAGCGACGACCATCCGCGCGTCTACGGGTGCCTCTATAGGTCCCATAGCGGTAATGCCGAAACAGACCGACTCATCGACCACGTCCAAATGGCTACAGATTCCTTGCTACAACAGGTCCCATCCGCAGAGATCGTGATCCTTGGCGATTTTAACGCCCACCATGCCGAATGGCTCGGTTCACGTTTAACCGATCATGCGGGGAGATCTGTTTATGACTTTGCCTTGGCATATGGTCTGACACAACTGGTTACTTCGCCTACGCGGATTCCAGATGTGGAGGATCATACACCTTCCCTGTTGGACCTTCTGCTGACCTCTCATCCGGACGGATATCAGGTTTCCGTCGATGCCCCTCTCGGCTCTTCGGACCATTGTCTGATCCGGAGTGTGGTGCCACTCACGCTCCCTTCGCGGTTGCGTTCTGCAGGTTGCCGCCGTGTTTGGCATTACAGGTCGGCGGATTGGGACGGAATGCGGTCTTTCTTTGCATCCTACCCATGGGGGCGGGTTTGCTTCTCGCCGGATGATCCCAGTGCTGTTGCTGACTCTGTCACTGATGTGGTGCTACAGGGAATGGAACTATTTATTCCATCATCTGTGGTACCCATCGGAGGCAGATCTCAGCCTTGGTTTGGTCGCTCCTGTAAGACTGCATTGCGCAGTAAGCAGGAGTGTTATCAAGCCTGGGCTGCGGCTTCGGTGACTCGGGATGTAAACACCAGCACACTTAAAAAGAAGTATAACTTCGCCTCCAGGTCCTTCAAAAGAGTTATTGCCAAGGCAAAGTTAGAGCACATAGGCAGAATTGGCGAGAAACTAGTTCGCCTTCCTTCGGGAACCCGTGCATTCTGGTCTCTCGCCAAGGCTGTCCAAGGGAATTTCTGTAAGCCATCACTACCATCTCTGCACAGGGAGGACGACTCACTGGCCCAAGACGCAAAAGACAAAGCCGACCTTTTAGGCTCCCTTTTTGCGTCCAACTCGACTCTTGATGACGAGGGGAAAATACCGCCGACCATCCCGCGGTGTGAGTGCTCCATGCCGGATGTGCTATTCTCACAGCGCTCAGTTCGCAAAGCACTTCTCTCCCTGGACATCCAGAAGTCGAGTGGGCCTGACGGAATCCCCCCAATTGTGCTGAGGATGTGTGCTCCGGAGTTGGCACCGGTCCTAACGCGTCTTTTCCGGTACTCCTACTCCCATGGCGTAGTCCCGAATTCATGGAAGACAGCTTTTGTCCACCCGATCCCTAAAAAAGGCGACCGCTCAGACCCGTCCAACTATAGGCCTATCGCGATCACCTCCTTGTTCTCCAAAATAATGGAATCCATT